TACACTGAGAATGAATTAATTACACCCTTCATGCGTTAGTACCGTCCTAACTCTGTGATCTTTCCCTACCCCACTCCTCTGCTTGCCCACTCTGCTTAGGTCCACCCCCTCCATGTCACCATTTGTGGCCAAGCCTTTGACTACTATGCCCCTACCTCTGGAACTCCTCCCTCTTGCCTCGTCAACCTCTATCTGTCTTTAAATCCCATTTAAAACCTACCTCTTCAATGGTGCCTTCATCTCCCCCCCCCCCCCCACCCTTTCTTCATTGTGTATCGTCTGGTTCCAACACCATGAAGCCCTCTGAGATGTTATCCTACGTGAAGGGTGCTATAATAATGCAAGCTGTTGTAATTAGATTGAAGACAGGTATCACAAACTGAATGTTGATAACCCAGGTATTTCAGTTTCAAAATCTTTTATTCTGTGTTGGGAGCTGCTGTAACCAGTAAAAGAGTTCTGTAACCAGTAGCAGAAAGAACATTTTACAATGTTCCAAATACCATCTGTAACCACATCTCAGGTTTAAGCTGATATCATAGATTGGTGTAGTGTAGCCGAAGCAATGTCTAAATGTCATCTGAAAAAATGTGTTATCCCTTTATAACAAGGCATGTTGGCCTACAAAACACAGTCATTATATTTTACAGTAAATCCCATAGTGAATTTTACCGTAATTCCTTTGAGACGTCTTCTTGATGTGAAAGGCGCTACATCAAATGTAAGAATTATTGTTTTTATTACTTAAGATACTGTGCTGTTGTGTGCAATATACAGAAATATTGGCATTTCTTACCTTTTTTCCATCAACCGTTTCCATTATTTTTGCCGACAGGAGTCTGCCGATAGATACCAGTGAAAGATAAGGCTTGTATTATATGATAGATTTTAAATACATTTATGAAAATACAATTTGCCCTTATCCCTTGCGATTAAAGCAGATTCTGCAAAGTGTATAATGTCAGGGTAATTTTCTGTTACGTGTCTAATTTTTTTACATCCTTTAGCATCTCACTCATATCATTACAAGTGATAATTGTTAATCAAGAATTCAGGAGTGTAAATTTCACACTGGGAAGCTTTAAGCAGTCCACACTGCTCATATTATCATAAATATAAAATACTACCTTTCCAAATAAATTACTTTTGGAACTCTGTAGAACTGCTCTTTTACGTAAATTATGGAGCATTGTGGAAAATCAGTCATACACTTAGCAGTAGTCTTTACATGTGCACATACCCATAAACTACCTGCAATATTGACATGAAAGGTACGTGTGTTCGTGGGTTTCAGCAGGAAATCTCGTCATAAAATTCACAATAAACATATAGCTTTTCTGTACGTTTTAAAATATTTAAGAGTCCCTGATGGAAAATTTTGTTCTGCGGTTAAGCCAGCAAACTATGTGGTCTAATTACTTTTGCATACTCTTATCATGTGAAGCATAGCTTCTCAGACCAAGGCGATGACATTTGCAGAATAATAACATATTTGTATCCTGCTGCTGCACAGCAAAAATTGTCAGCTTTTTGCTCTATACAGGTCTGTTACCTTCTGTTACAATCCATTGTAGGAACATCAGAAAGGGAATTTGGCAATCAAATGAATCCTTAGAGAAACCATAAGTGAAATACAAAATGTAACTTCTCTTGACAGATAGAAATCCAATCAATGTGAATGTTTTATATTGCTAACATCTTCAGTTCCTCCTGACTAATCTGGCCCTTTGTTTGAGCAAGGCTGTGTTCGGGTAGTTTTGAAGATGTGAAAACAATGAGCAGCTGGTGATGCACAGTGGGATGGATTCAATGGAAAGGGAATGGCAACTCACTAGCATCACCATTACCCCAAATATACAGGGACTATCTCAAGTCCCATCAATAAATACCCTTTTAAAAACAGACCATTACAAAGCATTATGATGATGTCCAGCGCATTTTGTTTTGTTCCGTCCACTTGGGCTGAATTGCTTTAAAGTTTAAAAAGAGGCACTGTGTTTGAGAGAAAGAAACAAAGGCATTTGCTAAACTATTTCTGTTTAGGTAAGCAGAAGACCCAGAAGTGTCAGGTGTTATTGATGAATCACATACAAGTGATTCAGTGACATGTTCCAACGTGATATACGTCACTGGATCTTTTATTTAGTTTATTAGTGAAAACAGGTCTGCCGGACATATCTTGAAAGTTATTATTTGGATAATGTATACTATAGTCAGAATCAGAATCATCAGAAACTGATAAGGTTTGTATTTACCTCATTAGCTATGCTTCTCAGCTTTAAATCTTGATATCAACCATCAAATCTTTTATATTTCAGGACTGCATTAAAAAAGAGAATTTAGAACTAAAGTCTTCACTCTTGGAAATAATGAAAAATAATGAAAATTGGCACAGCAGATGCAGAAACTGGAAATGGAAAAGGCTGTGCCTGCAGGCAGTCAGAACAGAGTCTTTCCTGAGTCCCCCTGTTGTTCACATTATTCATGAATTATTTGGAGGAGAGAATGTTGTGTAACATAATATTTGCTGAAAATGCCAAGTTAGGAGGCAAGGTGATAAGCATAAGGGAAATAAATAGCTTTCAGAAGACATCTGGTCCAATTAAGCCAATGAATATTAATCTAGGTAAATGCAAGATAATGCAAATTAAAGAGGAAACAGTAAAGTATGCGTAGCAGAAAGTGCAACATTAAAGTTACACACTGTTTTTCATTATTATGGTTTTATTTTAATTACACTGTGGCAAAGGACACTTTAACAAGAACCCTATCAAAAGCAACTTACTTCATGGGTGTTTGTGGGATAATGCTGCACACAAATTGTCTGCTTTGTTCGCCTATAAAATACACAATCACTATACTTTACATGAAGTGTTTTGGTACATCCTCCCGAACTGAAAGGTGCAATATCAAGTGCAAAGATTATTATTAGAAGTAGTATTAACAGTATAAATGTAGAGCAGAAATCTGTAAACAGCAGCTAAGTTTTGCAAGTCTGACCTCACTGGGAACATGAATCTGCTTTAGGAAAGCAGAGCAAGTCTGGCTTGTTTACAAGAGTCAAGAAAGGTGATTTTGAAAAACTAAAATGTTTAAGGATTGGATTGATGACAGTTATAAACATGTCAAATAAAAGATCAAGGTAGGTCTGAGGAATTTAAGCATGTCTGGCGAATAATATGGTGAATTCAACCTTTTGAGAATTATTTTGAATTATGGCTAAAAATGATAATAGTAACAGCAGAATGAGTCAGCAGAGTCCAGGAATGTCCTCATAAAAGATTTCAGGGATCCATATGTTTCTACCCATGGTAAAGGAGCAAGCGGAGATAAAATATATGGCAAATCTATTGCCAGTGATTTCTTAACCGTGAAAGTAATGTAGATATTTGATATTTTTATGGTGTTTGACTATCAGAGGAGATGAAAAACAACAACAAATTACATTTGTATGGCACATTTCACTTCGGGAGGATGTCCGAAGGTGCTGGATAGTTGGGGATTTGGACCCAAGCGGGCATTGGGATCATGGGTGCTGGAGGGAGGGAGGATAAGGGTAGGAGGGTGACCGAAGATGCGGTCAAAGAGGAGAGTCTTGAGATGTGTCTTGAAGGAGGCAAGGGAGGGAGCAAGGTGAAGGAATGTGGAGTGGAATTCCAAAGGGTGGGTGCACAGAGGCTGAAGGCCTGTCCGCCAATGGTGGGGTGGGGCAGGTCGGGCGGGGGATGTGGAGCAGGCTGGAGCCTGCTGAGCGGAGAGAGCGGAGGGGTTGACATGGAGTTAGCAGGTCACAGAGGTATGAAGGAACAAAGCTGTGGAGGGCCTTGAGGACAAGGATTTTGAATTCTATCTCTGGGGAATGGGGAGCCAATAGAGCCGGGTGAGGGTGATAGGGTCACAGAGTCTGGTGCGGAAAGGGACACGAGCTGCAGAGTTCTGGATGATCTGTAGCTTGTGGAGGGAAGAGTTGGGAAGGCCAACAAGCAGGGACTGACTCATGAAACCTCAGCACAAAATTGATTGAGCAGCAATGTGATGTACACAGGTTTACGTGCAGAAACTCCAGTTTACATCAGGGGTGATATGACCCCAGCAATGACCAAATAGTAGTTAGACTGCTTGAGGTTTTTTCCAACTACCCTGATACAATCCAAACTAATATACGTATACCAAGGGCATCAATGCAATCACTTGTATATCACTTCTTAAGTAATTCAGATTTGTCTTTCTAGTTATTATTAACATGAAAACTATTAATAGAAAATGAAGAAATTAATAATGGCCATAATTCCGAAACCAGCATGTTTTATATTTTTGGCTTGATGCTTGAGATGGTGTGATATACAGATCTAACAAGTTGTGCCTTGAACACACAGGACGTGGATTTGCACCTGTCCTTCCCTCATGGTGAGTTTCTGGTCTCTGAGGTGTCATTTGGAGAGGTAATGACTGGAGATCAAAGAAAAGAAAGAGGCTGTTCGCATTACATTTCTCAGCTGGGATTTATTCCTTGTTCAAATGTATTGCTTTAAGAACTGATCGTCCTACCCCAACCCTCCCTGGCTTCCACCCTTCCTGATCCCAACCCCCAGCTCAGGTCCAAATCCCTGACTGTCCAGTTCCTTGGGACATCCTCCCGACGGGAAAGGCGCTATACAAATGTTGTTGGAGAGATACGATACAGGAAAACAGTCTAAATCCCAGCAGGTAAATAAATTAGGCAAATAGAAATATCTACTTCATGGTTCGTACCTTATGAAAGTAGGCAATAAACTTATTATGGTTGAATAGTCACTTCAGAAAAAGTAGTTTATTTTGAAGGCAAACAAGTAAAAGGTGAAAAAATGCTTATTCCAAAGCATCTCAATATAGCAAAATGTAATCTGGAAAACACTCATCTACCCAAACATCTAAAATAATTAATTTTAAGATTAATACATCATAAGCCTATTTGGAATAAAATAATTTAGAATATCCTTGTGTGTTTATGTTTCTTCCAGGTACTACAAATGTATCTGCCATTCTGTGGCATATCCATTTCCAATGCCAAACTGTTTGCAGCGTCTCGAAAGGAATATGACAGAGGCAGGGTAAGGTTTCCAAGTCTATCAAATTAAATTTAATAGAAATTGGGCAAAATGTTTTTTTTTCGGTGTGTGCATGCGCGCGTGTGCATGTGAGAGCGTGTGTGAGCTTGTGTGAGTGTGAATGAGTGTGAGCGAGCCTGGCTCAGTTGTTAGCACTCTTGCCTCTGAGCCAGAAGGTTGTGGGTTTAAGTCCCACATTGGGACTTGGAACTCATATAGTCTAGGCTGATGCTCCATTGCAGTAAGGGTGGTGGGGTGGTGGTGGGGTGGGGGTTGCTGCACTACTGTCGGAGCTGCCATCCTTTGGATGAGATATTAAACCAAGGTCCTGTCTGCCTATCCAGGTGGACGTTTAAGATCCCATAGCACTATTCAAAACAGTAGGGTGTTTCTCCCAGTATCCTTGATCAACAATCCCCCAAATAAAATTAGTCACCCATTCCATAAGGTCTTTGTGAGACATTGGGGTGTGCAAATTGGCTGCCACATTCACTCACAGAATTTACAGTCAATCCACTTTATCATGTCCAAGGTTACTCCAAGTAATTCAAGGGTAAAAGTAATAGAATTATCTAAGCTTGTTTTAAAAGGATACTGATGAGTTTCTGCTAGTATGGCAAGTGCTTTGACCTGATTGTTACACAAATGTTATTCATACTCATACGGTATATAGGTTAATATTGCTCAAATCTAAGAATAGGTTTGCATTCATTACTCTCCAGTAACAGCTGATGTTTCGCATGGGATGAGCAAAGTTTTAGGTAGGAGGGGTCATGAGGGAAGAAAGCAAAACATTGTCCTACTTAATTTGAACCAATCTGAGGATAAAAATGAAAGCATCTTGCACATAAATCAATATTTTGTCACAATTCTTAGTGTAAAGCAGAATATGGTCCTATATACTGAGACATGTTACACAATACAACACTGGACTTGTATAAACTGGCCCAAATTGAGTACTAGAGATAAATTCAGTTAATTGTCATCATTCTCTAATGCTTTTATTTTCAGACGACTCACCTTGGAATAATTATGCCTCTATTTTAAGTTAATATTAAGATGCTTTTGTTAGCTCACAAGTTTTATACTGGCTGTGTGCAGCCTATTGATCCGACCTTTCTTTTAGTGCTGCTGTTTTTTAATTTCATCAAAATGGTTTCAGGCATTACTAGAAGTTGTCAATGATTTATTTGAAGAGCAAACAGAGCTGGAGAAGGTTGTCAGGAAGATCATGCAGCGAGCTCTAACCCTGCTACAATGTGAGCGATGCTCTGTCCTTCTTCTGGAAGATGTTGAATCTCCTGTAAGTAATTTTATTAGTTCCCTATTTTTGAGCTCAGGCCAAAAAGCATTTATTAAAAAGAAGCTGAAGCGAGTGTCTAAAAAGTTCATTTCAAATTATTCAACCTTTTCTACATCGTCACACATTGGAGTCTAATTTGTGGTTTGGGTTACAAAGTACAGCTGTCCTTAACCTCATAATTAACAACTAATGTGAAGGATTATTCAATTGCCTATAAACCCTTTCAGTGTTTGTTAGTTTAAGTTCATCTTTAATTCCCTCTGTACATGATACCATGGGTATAAATTAAAGAACCAATTTCCTCTCCCACCTCCCCCCCAAAAAGCAATATTGTATGGACCTTATCCAGACTAAACATGGAATCCAATGCAAAATGAGGTCAAAGCTTGTGACTACCCTCACATTTGTGTGGTCCAGAGTTATTTGATCATTGCTCAGTGCTCAGGTTGGCAAATCATCAGCTTCACTCAGATCTCTCATGCTCCAAGCTGAAATGTCATTGTGGGAGGATTTCAGTGTCCTGTTCTTATTTTTCTAGGTCGTCAAGTTTTCAAAGACTTTTGAACTGATGTCTCCAGTGTGTTGCGTGGACAGTGAAATTAGGTGCGAAAAAAAAATGATTTGATAATCTTGAGATACATTTGTGGTTTCCTTGTATAAAGGGTGAAAAAAATATTGCATTTTTGGTTGGTGGAAAACATGTTCAATCATTTTACAGAAGGTTATGGTTAGATAGAATATAAATGGGGTATCACAAACTGATTCTGAGGGAGATAATGTGATAAGGCAAGTTCAGATGAGAAGGCCCTTTTGCTGATTTGATCTCATCTTTTTAGAATACACTCCTTATCTTTCAATTATGGCATCAAGCTGTTTCTTAACAAGTCCAGTGTCCTGGCTTCAACCACCTTTTCTGGAATCCCTTTGATGCCATGTTACTGTTTATTTGCCCTAGTATTGCTGATAAGCATAACTTAATAAATGGAGTATGGTACGAAGCCCACATTAACAACTGTGCTACATGGAATTCACTGAGCTGAATCACCACCCCCTTCAGCAACCAATATACAACAATTTTCACTTATATACAAGCTTTTACTTAAGGAGCCCAAGCTTGGATGAAAATAGGAAGAGTAGCAGGTAGGTGGCTGAACAGTGGTCAAAGAAATAGAGGGATAGGTCTTTAGATGGGTTTTGAAAGCAGAGAGGGAGAGGCGGTGGCAGAGGGATTTTGGAAGAGTTCGAAAAGGTGGGGACAAGGTGGCTGGAAGTTTACCCACCAGTGGTGGAGCAGAGCTTAGGGGCAAGAGGCAGGAGCAGAGAGAGAGGCTGGGGAGAAGGGTCATAGGAGATCACAGAGATGAGGTGGGACACGGCCATGCAGGCAGTTGAAGTTAAGGAGGAGGATATTAAACTTGATTTGCAAGGGGAATAGGGAGCCAGTGAAACCCGGTTAGCTGTTCTCACAGAAAGAATCCAGACCAGAGTTCTGGGATGGTTTGGAGTTTTTTGAAGGGTGGAGTTGGTGTGAAGAGTCTTGGAAAAGGTGAGTCTGGATACAGACTTCATAACATAATTTGAAATCCTTGGGGTTTATTCTACTCTGTGCCCAACATACAGTAAATTTGTTGATAGATTATGACTATTATTTAGTGAGTTGAACGAAATTGTCTCTAGAATCATACAAATTTGCAGCACAGAAGGAGGCTATTCAGCACTATTTGAAGCACTCTGGGATGTTATCTCCCGTGCGGGGCTCTATATAAATGCAAGTTGTTGTTGTTATTCATACCTGGGCTGAATCTCTTTAAGAGCTATCCATTCAATCCCACTGCCCTGTGTGGTTGGAAATAATTTCAATACAATATTATACACACAATTTAGATCTCTTTCATAATAAATTGTTACCTATAAATTAAAATTGTATTACAGTTGCCTGATCAGAATTGTGAACTTTCAAGGTGTAGATGAAATCAAGATGTTGAAATCAAGGATTGCCTGTCTGTCAGCCTGGCTCAATTGGTCAGGAGGTTGTGGGTGACAGTGCAGTGCAAGTCTTGGGGATTGTTGCAATGCTGCAAGGTGCTATCCTTTAGACGTTAAACTGAGGTCCCACCTGTACCTGTTCAGATGGATGGGCCATTAATATAAAATAGTTACAAATAGATCAAATAAGGAAGTTAGAAGAAATTTCTTCACACAGAGAGTAGTGGGATTGTGGAACATGCTATCGCAAGGAGTTGTTGAGGCAAATAGTACAGATGTATTTAAGGGAAAGCTAGATAGTTACATGAGGGAGAAAGGAATAGAAGGTTATGCTTGAAGGCTTAGTTGAGGAAGGGCAGGAAGGGGCTCATGTGGAGCATAAGCACCGATATAGACCAGTTGGGCCGAATGGCCTGTTCTTGTGCTGTATATTCTAATACATTCTAATTTATTCTAATGTATGTTAAAAATCCTATGGGAGTATTCAAAAAGAGAAGGGAGTTTCTCCCAGTGATCCTGCCAACAAAAATCCCCCAAATAAAATTGACCGTTTATTTCATTTGCTGCGTAAATTGGCAGGTCTGTTTGCCTACAAAATATATAATGATTACACTTTATTAATATATCATATGAAGAACTTTGAGACCTCTCTTCCCAATGTGAAAGGTGTAAAATCAAATGTAAGAATTATTACAATAAAACCTTGGCCTAGATCAAACTCTAATATAAATATTTATTATTCCTTGTGAAAGCTAGCATGGAGAAACTATCCTGCTCTGATTGGCTGATAAATAACAGCATCGCAGAGCTGGTTGCATCAACAGGCCTTCCAGTCAATATCAGCGATGTCTACCAAGATCCTCGCTTCGACACTGAGGTCAGTCAACTTTGCATTGGGTGGCAGTGAAGGAGCGAGATGAAGAGAAGCTTGACTTTAAGGCTTAGTAATGAACTTGGTACTAAAGTGCCATTGGTATGGTAACAGATTGGTAAAAACCTCTTTCCCTGTTACAAATAGCATACATATACTGTATGAATTTCAAGATGAATACAGACAGTGTGCCCTCTTCTGAATAACTTTGTTTCTGGAGCAGTTTTAACATAGCGATTTTATGTAGAATCATACAAATGTCAACATAGAAGTAATTGTCTTATTGTGCCTACGCTGTGCTCGCTTCCCAACTTGAACCATCTGCTCTTTCCCCATATATTATATCTCCATTCTTCATCTGTATCTGATTCCATTTCTAAATGTACTTATTGACTTGGCTCCATCATAAGTGGCAGTCTAATAAGTACCACATTCTATAATTCAAGCAAACAATGCTAAGCATTTGTCTGGATTGTTAGGGAATAACATGTATTTACAATAATTTTCTGTCTCACTATCTGAGGAGCACAAAATACAGTTCGCTTTTACAATTCAAAGAGTGATTAAAGCCAGATCACATAACACCTTGGAGGAAAGGGACACGCTAAGCATCAGTTTGGCTCAGTTGGTAGTATTCACTTCTGGATCAGATATGGATATCAGCCTCACATCATAGTCTACACTGACACTTTAGTGTGTACTGGGGGAGTATCATATTGTTGGAAATGTTATCATTTGGTTTTAAACTAAGTTCCTGTGGATTTATCCTTAGGTGGAGGTAAAAGATTCCATAGCACTATTTTAAAAGAGAAGAAGATTACTCCTGGTCCTGGCCAACAATCCTGCAAATAAATTGACCATTCATCTCAAGGCTCTAAATGAAACTTTGCTGGCTCAAGTAGTTGCCAATTTTGCTTACAAAAGCTGTCAATACACTTTACAGTAATTCAAGATGTTTTGAGAAGTTTCAATATAATAAAGTGCTATAAAAAAACTCCTTTAAAAAAAAGTACTTCAGAAATCAAATCCTGTACTGCAAAAATGAACAAACAAATGTTTCGGGGAGCTTGTTATTATCTGACAATTAGAACCAGGGCATATCTTCTTGTAGTTGCTGAGGAGGGAAAGATATTGGGCACTGCTCTCTGTTAGGCTTGTTGTCTTTGTGTTCCCTCATTGGTTCACATGCCAAACATGAACCCTGCACAAATACAGCTAAGCTTTCATAAGGTTCGGTGTTTGATTTACTCGGTTCACTATGTCCCATTTACCCATATATTTTTTATGTAGTTTCCATTGTTGCCTGGGGCTCTGCTGTCCTGTTAGATGGGTTTGGTAATACTCTGGGTCAGGTTATGAATGCCTTAAGATCATGTATTGGAGACTGCAGATCACAATCCATCATTAAATCTAACTTCATAAATTAATAAAAGATGATCTGAGATATTAATGTAAAAATGCCCTTGAAGTTATGCATTAAATTGTGATTAGTTCAGTTACATGGATAAATGGCTTTCACCTTTATCCTGGATTTTATCCTTAATTTGGATTTAATTAAATTAATTTGTCATTCATTGATTAATTTCATCTTCAGTTCTTACTGAGTATACCATTCAGTCTAGATTTAAAAATGTATTCAGGTATCCAGATCTTGCGATATGTTTGCCCTTAATTTACTTATACACTGTTTAAAGAATATCTGTTATTTGTTATTGTTCAAATACTAAAAGTTTCATAAAGTTTATATGAAAATTATACACTGGGTATTATATCAAAATGTGCACTCCAATAACTTTATTGGAAAGAACTGACCGTAATGTTAACCAGGCACCTTTAACTCAATGAGGTTTAGAAACTGTCAGTGCTGAAGATTGAATCCTTTCTTTAATTATCTTACCTGATCTATGCTGGCATAACCAAGTGGTGAAAGTGACTGGAAAAATTGGCAGAGGAATGGGAACCTTAAGATAACTCAGCTGTATTTGTTACCATAGTTAAGTCTGTGTTGTACACACTTTATCCATTTGATGGTGGAATGCAGAGAATCCTAAAATGTTACATTGCAGACACTGGCCACGCACCCTATTATATCATTGGCCAATTAAATTTTCATTTGCTCCTTTGATCCAAGTGCAGCTGGAACACTATGAAACAGATATTGTGACCCTTTAGATGGGGAGAGCTTCCTGGACAGTTTCATCCTGGAACCAGACACTCCCATGAGTCCCAGGGATCATTCCGTTGCCAGCCACGGAAAGGACTGGGTGACGGTCAGACAGGCGTGTAAGAGGACCCGAAAGAGAAGGGCAGAGGAACCCCAGGCTTTAACCTTGTTCAACAGGTATGAAATACTTACAACCTGTGTGGACAAGGAAGTCTGTGAGGAAGATGGGCAAACTTACCCCAACACCTCTATACAGGAGGCCAAACTGGAATAGTCAGAAAGAATATAGTGGTGATTGGGGATGAGACAGTCAGGAAGACTGACACACTTTTCTGCAGCCGTAGCAAGGAGACAAGAAGACTTTGTTGCCTTCCTGGGGCCAGGGTGAAGGACATCACTTCTGGGCTGGAGAAAAATTTGAAACAAGAGGGAGTGGATCCAATAGTTATGATTCACATAGGGACCAATGATGTAGGTAGGACAGGTAGGGGCGAGTTGAGGATCAAGTTCCGGGAATTGGGAGTTAAGCTAAAGAATAGAACATCGAAGGTGTTAATATCAGGATTATTACCTCAGCCAGGGGCAAATTGGTACAGGCAAACGAAAATTAAAGAGCTGAATACCTGGCTAAAAGAATGGTGCAGAGGGCAGGAGTTTCACTTTATAGGCCACTGGCACCAGTATTGGGGGAGATAGGAGCTATTCCAAAGGAATGGACTCCACCTAAACAGGGCTGGGACAAATGTCCTGGCAACACGAATAAATAGGGAGGTAGACAGGGCTTTAAACTACTGGGGGGGGTGGGTGGTAAATTCAATCACATGTAATCTGTTACAATTAAAATTAGGACCGATGAAAGTGGGAGAGCAGATTAACGAGGGAGATGAGCAAAGGGTGTCAAGCGGGGAAAGGAAGCCCAGGGATAGGGTACTGGTGAATAGGACTAATAGCCCGAAGTCAGAATTAAAGGTGCTATATCTGAATGCGCGAAGCATTCGAAACAAGATAGATGAGTTAAATGCACAAATAGAAACAAACGGGTATGATCTGGTCGTCATCACTGAGACATGGTTACAGGGAGATCAAGGGTGGGAGCTAAATATTCCAGGGTACGTGGTGTATAGGAAAGATAGGCAATGTGGTAAACGAGGAGGGGGGTGGCCCTGCTAATAAAGGATGGAATAAAAATAGTAGAGAGGAAAGATTTTAAATCAGAAAAGCAAGAAGTAGAGTCAGTATGGGTAGAGGTACGTAACAACAAGGGGCAGAAAACTCTAGTGGGGGTAGTTTATAGACCCCCGAACAGCAATCACAGTGTCTCTCAAGGTATAAATCAGGAAATTAGCAGAGCATGTAGTAAAGGAAAAACATTAATTGTGGGTGATTTTAATCTGCACATAGATTGGGACAACCAAATTGAGAAAAGTATGACAGAGGAAGAGTTTATAGAATGTATTAGGGATAATTATCCTGATCAGTATGCTGAGGAGCCAACCAGGGAACAGGCCATATTAGATCTTGTTTTGTGCAATGAAGCAGGGCTGATCAGCAAACTAGAAATTAAGGCTCCTCTAGGGCAAAGTGATGATAATATGATAGAATTTAGCATTACGTTAGAGAGAGAAATAGTTAAGTCCGAAGCAAAGGTTTCAAATTTAAGTAGAGCTAATTTTGCTGGTATGAGAGAGGATTTAGCCAAAATAAACTGGGAAATTAGACTTAAGGATTTGACAGTAGACCAGCAATGGCAGACGTTTAAGGAGATAGTGCAAAATTCCCAGCGAGCACGTATTCCTTTGAGGAATAAGAATGCCACGGGAAAGGTGGCCCAACCGTGGCTAACTAGAGCAGTTAGGGAAAGTATAAAGTTAAAGGAAGAAGCCTATAAAACAGCTAAGATGAGTGGTAAACCCGAGGATTGAGAGAACTTTAGGGATCAACAAAGGAGAACCAAAAAAGTGATTAGGAGGGAGAAAATGGAATATGATGGCAAACTAGCGAATAACGTAAAGACAGACTGCAAGAGTTTTTATAAATATATAAAGAGGAAGAGGCTGTCAAGGGTAAATGTGGGTCCGCTACAGGCAGAGACGGGGGGAATTATAGTCGGGGACAAAGACATGGCAGAGTCATTAAACAAGTACTTTGCTACTGTCTTCACCTTAGAAGACACTGAAAACCTACCAAGAATAGAGGGGAACCAAGAAGAAAATGTTAGCGAGCAATTAGGAATTAATTGGAGGAATTAATATTAGTAAAGAAATGGTTTTAGATAAATTATCAGGTCTTAAAACTGATAAATCTCCTGGACCTGATGGCATATATCCTAGGGTTTTAAAAGAGGTGACTACTGAGATAGTGGATGGCTTGTCTTTGATCTTCCAAAATTCTCTGGATTCTGGAACGGTTCCCATTGATTGGAAGATTGCAAACGTGACACCACTATTTAAGAAGGGTGGGAGAGAAAAGTTGGGAACTATAGACCAGTTAGTCTGACTTCAGTGGTAGGGAAAATTCTTGAGTCCTTAATTAAGATGTCGTTATGGGATTCCTGGAAGACCATAACAAGATTAGGCAGAGTCAACATGGCTTTACAAAAGGGAAGTCATGCTTAACTAATCTTTTAGAGTTTTTTGAAGATGTATCTAGCAGGTTAGATAGGGGGAACCAGTAGATGTAGTATATTTAGATTTTAAAAAGGCATTTGACAAAGTGCCACACAAAAGGCTATTGCACAAGGTTAAGGCCCACGGGATTAATGGGAACATATTAGCATGGATTGAAGAGTGGCTAAAGGGTAGAAAACAGAGAGTAGGGATAAACGGGTCATTCTCGAATTGGCAGGATGTGACTAGTGGAGTGCCACAAGGATCAGTGCTTGGGCCTCAGCTATTTACAATTTACATCAATGATCTAGACGAGGACATAAACTAGGTGGGAGAGTAAGCTCTGAGGATGATGCAAAAAGATTGCAACGGGATATAGATAGGCTAGGGGAGTGGGCGAGTAGGTGGCAGATGGAATTTAATGTGGGGAAGTGTGAAGTTATTCACCTTGGTAGAAAAAATAGAAAAACAGATTATTTTCTAGAGGGGGAGAGATTAGATAGTGTTAGTGTGCAGATGGATTTGGGTGTCCTTGTACACCAGTCTCAAAACGTTAGTTTGCAGGTGCAGCAAGCAACTAAGAAGGTAAACGGCGTGTTAGCGTTCATTGCAAAAGGTTTAGAGTACAAGAGTAGGGAAGTCTTGCTGCAACTGTATAGGGCCTTGGTGAGACCGCACCTAGAGTATTGTGTGCAGTTTTGGTCTCCTTATTTAAAAAAGGACATACTTGCCCTAGAGGGGGTGCAGCGTAGATTCACTCAGTTAGTTCCTGGGATGAGGGCACTGACCTACGAGGATAGGCTGAATAAACTAGGGCTGTATTCTCTAGAGTACAGAAGAATTAGGGAAGATCTTATTGAAACATATAAGATTCTTAAAGGGCTGGATAAAGTAGACACTGAAGGTCTGTTTCCCCTGGTAGGAGAATCTATAACCAGGGGTCACAGTCTTAAAATTAAAGGTCAGCCTTTTAGAACAGAGTTGAGGAAACATTTCTTCACTCAGAGGGTAGTGAATTTATGGAATTCACTAGCCCAGAAGGCTGTAGATGCTCAGTCCTTGAACATCTTCAAGGCTGAGACTGATAGATTTTTTAAAAAACAGAGGTATTAGGGGATACGGAGACAGGGCAGGTAATTAGAGTTAGGTCAGAAGATCAGCCATGATCTTATAGAATGGCGCGCAGGCTCGAGGGGCCGAATGGCCTACTCCTGCTCCTAATTCTTATGTTCTTATGTTCTTATTTTCACTTGCATGTGTATATCTGTATTTTTTTTATAAATATGAAGCCAGAATTGTTCTGTGGTAGTATAAAAAGAACTAAATTAACAGTGGACTCATTTTAAGATTAGTGTGTCTCCAGGTTGCATTGATATGATTGGAAGTAACTTGGATTTAACTTGTGATATCTATTAACAGGACTCTTTAATAATGTGAGAAGCACTTCACTCTAACCTCTGTGTGGGAACTCGGCTCTGAGCTGACCTACTGTCATCTTTACTGATATCCTCCTTGTAATTCTACCATTGTGGCTTTACAATAAATTCTACTGTGTGAATTCTCAGCGCTGCTCATGTGGGGAGTGGGATGTGTAACCATGTAGTGGGGTTCCTAGAGGCCGACAGTGAGTTTAACAAGATTCATTATTAGGGAATCCTGTTAAGAAATACTGCAGTACATGCCCACTGTACCAGTTTGCTCACTCAGATCACTGACATTTGACTTCCAAGGGTACGGAAGACTGTACTCATAATAGGAGCTAGACTCAAATCTGGAGTGAGTTTGTTAGAGTTGTTGGGGACATCAGTGTAGATCAAGCCTTTTACTAGTTCCAAAACAGTCCAATCCTTACAGTGAATCAAAATACAGCAAAACCATCTCCCAGATTCTCAACAGTGTGTAGAGAGAAAATGCAGAGTTTCACTGTATTCAGTGAATCAGAAAGAATTGGAAGAAAAAAATAAATAGATCATGGCTTTCTGGGATCCAACTTTCACATTTTAGTACCCAGGTTAACATCTCGTTCCCCACACAACTGAGTTTCCCAGCACTCAGATTGCACACAGTAGAATTTGTTTTACTGCCATTATTGATCAGATCTTTGTCTTCACAATGGTAGGATTACAAGGAGAGATGTGAGTAAAGGTGTCTCAAATCCCACTCCAAATCGTTGCACCGGGTTTTATAATCCTTCTGCGACTCGGCTGCTGCAAATGAAGAAAAAAATTATACAATGATAAAGCAGCTGCTTTGTCAGTGGTAAAACCCATATAAGTCAACTTTGGCAGCTGAGTCATGAAGAGAAATTGAACTGCACCCTCAGGCACTCAACACGATTATCAAATATTAATATTTATTAATTATTTATTGCATACTGTAATATTTTGTTCACAAAAGAATGCAGGAAACTTGACCACACTCAACAGTCTGCCAAGGTAGGTGGTAACAGTCAGTCAATATTATTCAAACTGGGATGCAGACATACAAGATGAGTTCACAGCCTACACATACCAAGCAATACAGTTAGCACAGATGAAGATTCACTTTTAAAGCACAAGCCATTAATTTTACAGTATAACGGAAATGAATCAGCCACAATCAGCACTTGCATATTTGGAATCTGTGAATTTTTAATAAAACAGATCTTCAAAATATTGGACCATCTCTTGGTATACGAGCTTTGAGATTTTTGTCTTACATGAATGATTCTATCTAAGTGCAAGTTATTCTTGAGATATTGTGGCCTAAGGTTGAGAAACTAAGTGAAGCAACACCTGAATAACGCAGTAAACCCCAAGGTTGAAAAGAGCAGCAGGCACATAAAATCACGAGAGAGGTTTGAAAGAGGAAAGCTCTTTGCCTATTGAATCTCATTCTTCCAACTTTACTCTTTTTCCATTAGAGAAACGAATAGTTTCTTAAATAAGTCCAAGGTCTTTACATAGTATTACATAGAATGCACAACATGGAAACAGGCTATTCAGGCCAACCAGTCCATGCCGATGTTTATACTCCGCATGATTCTCCACCCACTCATCACTCCCTCCCATACACTTCTATTCCTTTTTCCCTCATGTGTATATGTTACAGTAAAGTTGTGAAACCAAGGACTTCACAAAATCCTTGAAATTATCAGTAAAATTATGAAACCATGAATTCACTGAAATTAGAGTTTTCGTGAAACTTTGATCCCACCAGTGGACAGGGGTAGAGGGGGACACAGGAACATCCTGTGTCCCCCTCTCATTTATAGAGATTTAGACACTGACCAGTACAGGATAGCAGTGAAGGCTGGCATCCTGAGGAGTCACTATTCCAGGAACCAATTTGACCTCTGCCCACAACGATTGTTAACAGACACTTATGTCAACCAAGAGAAGTCAGTCTCACTCCGTGAAGCTGTCATTGCACAGTCTGTTTGTGGTGGATAAGGTTTTACGAAGTGTAACTGCAGTCAGAAGAAATGTCAGACCAACCATTGTAAATGCTTCAAAGCAAAACTAAAATGTAACTCCCGGTGTCATAGAAGCCTCACTTATGTTAACAAATGAACATTTGACTCATAGTGAATGTAATCTCATGAAGTTTATGGTGAACAGAATATTAATTTTTATAATGTGTTATTTATTTGTTGATAATGCTAACAAGTGTCAAGGCAAGGTTATCAATATAATTAAATGATCACTTCTTCACAAAATCTCTCTAATTTCAGTGATTTCATGGTTTCAAAATTTACTGAAAATGTCAGGGATTTTGCGAAATCCCTGGTTTTACAACTTTACTGGTTTCACATCTTTATTGTAACATGTATATCTAGTTTCCTTATCAACGCATCTATTCTCTCTGATTGAGCCACCCTGTTTGGTAGCCTATTTCCATTTAAGTGAAGGAAATAAGTAGTACAAACTTGTAGATTGCAGGAGGAATGGAAGACTAAGGGACGTAAGGAGTTCCAGACTTTTGAGATCTTGGAAAAGAATGAATTAAAAAAGTTTGTGATATAGAAGCTGTTATCATTTGTTTGAGGCTTTAAAATAACCATACAACAGTACTATTTTGTCAGGAAAATATTTTTTGTTATGAAAAAATAAACATGATGTTAATGGTTTTATTGATGACTCTGTTTTCCAGGCAGACCAGATGTCTGGCTTTCATATACGTTCTGTGCTGTGTGTTCCCATCTGGCACAGTAATCATCAAATCATCGGTGAGTTCAGGCAATGATATGAATCACCAACAGGTCTCTTTTCACAGAAAGATAGCCCAATTCTCCTTGTGGCTCGTGCAAATGCAACTTGTGCAAGTTACAAATGCATTGTTTTGGTGTGCTTAAATCTGTGTTTTGCAGAGCATATGATGAAATATAAACACTTTTGCCAAGTGGCAAGTGAGCACAATCCCTACTTTGCTTTTACTCCCCATGAATCCTGTATAAGATTACTCATCCTGCATTGCTCTACCCTTTCAATTATCTACATTTCAAAACAAATTAAACTAGGAAATATAAAGATGTCCTATGTGAAATGAGATTCCAGTATGGGAAGAGAAGAACAATGTTATTGTTTTGTACAGATTTTACCATGTGCTATTTTATGATTATTTATATAAAAAAGGTCTTTTTATATAGGAAATTTGCAAGAAGCAGATTGATTTTCACTGGAGAGACACATCTTCCAGAGTTGCAGTGTTCAAAAAAGTGATCTTTTGATCATATTGATAACCTTGCCTTGACATGTGTTAGCAGAGTCCACTTAATGTACTAACTGGAAGGAACAGCAAAACACAGACAGCTTGGGCCACAACCCTCCATCTAATTTGCATTTGGGTCTGCTGCAAGCCTATTTCAACTGGAGACAATTGCATTTAATAATAATAATAATAATAATAATCCTTGCATTTGATATCATGCTTTTCACGTCTTCTAGATGTCTCAAAGCACTTCACAGAATATGCTGTAAAGTGAATTGAGAGTATATTTTTGGGCGAAACCCAGCAGCCATTGCTCACAGCAGTGTCCCACAAATAGTCGTGGATTGAAAATGACCAATTTATTTTTGTTTTGGAGGGATTATTATTGGGCGTGTGGAGTAAGGAAACTTACCCAAGGTTTCGCCCTGCCTGGAATTGAACCCGGGTGTCTCACTTGCAAAGCGAGTGCTCTAACCACTGAGCTACAGGACTCCACTTGTGACCCTGTGCTACGTTTGTGAGCCAACAGCAAGGATAACATTCAAATCTATTACATTGACAACAATCAGTATTTTCTCCCTATTGGTTAATGCAATATATTCACCATTTTCTTTCTCAACAAGTTTACTTCAAATACAAGCATGCTGTGCTACACACATTAAGTCGGGATTATTAAGTCATATTGTTTGATTCTGTGTGACTCTCCCGGGTCTCATTGCAATATGCTGCATTAGAAACCTGCAGAAATACATATGCGTAAAAAGCACGTTTTAAGAGAACATTGAATATTCAGACATTCGCTTGTTATGAAAGTTTGCCCTTATGGTGAGGTTAGTATTTTTGTGTGTAATTTGCCAAATTTAGTAACATTTTTCATTATACAAAATCTAAATTTTTCCAAAATTGTACATGCAAGTCAGGATGGGAGGATGACTAATTGACATATATATTACAGCATGTTGCCAATTTTCTTTTAAAAAACTTACTTTCGCATATTACAGATCAGACTGCAGACATACAATAATTATAAAGACATGGTAAGCAATGAACCAAATAAAAGCCTAATTGAGATTATACAGAAGAGAAATAGACTTCTTTTAATCTGGGATAGGACAGCACACCATTTTATGTTGTAATATATTTACCATTTTTTTTCTGAACAAGTTTATTTCAAATACCCAATTATTATACTAATAGTATTAGGTAGAAGATATTAGGGTATTAGAAGAGGAAATTAAATGAAGGCCAAACTACAGTGGAATGACTTGAAGATGCATCTCATTTCAAGTCGATCAAAGTCATCAGAAGGCTAGAATGACAACTTTATTAAATTGAAGCATAAAGTGAGGAATCTCCACAACTCCGTTTGTGAAAAAATGTTTTCTGATTTCACTCGTAAACTGTTTGGCTCTAATTTTGAGATTAAGTCCCACTTTTTCGGATTCTTCTACCAGAGGAATGTGTTTCTCTATCTCTCTTTGTCAAATCCCATTATCATTTTAAACACCTCCATCACTGAACCTTCTTAGCTCAAGGGAATATAACCCAAACGTGTCCAACTTCTCCTTATAATTTAGCCCCCTTCAGTCCAGGTACCATTCTGGTGAATCTACGTAGCATGCCCCCCAAGGTCAATACATCTTTCCTAAATTGTGGCGCCCAAAACTGAACACAATACTCCAGCTTTGATTTGTACTTTACTGTACTTTATGTTTCAAAACATAACATCTGTTATCCATGATTCAAAGAGATTGGAAAGAGCTACGTGAATTCTAGGTATTATCAGAACTTAAAAGTGGTTATTGTCTACTATGTCAATGACCACTTAAAATGTGCAGTTAAAAAATGTTTATACAATAATAACTATAGGATATTCAATAACTTTAAATGGTACTTTTTATACAGAACTTTTAGCAATACTGAATTTCCTGACTCTTCTATTATTTACATTTCTCAAACGTAGTATTTAGATAATTGTGGCCAGCTTGTATGATGATGAATAGCCGATAGCATGGTGGATAGTCAAGGAAGCTGTATATAATAATCTTCTCTATAAAACTGGTTATATCATATCTTGTGTATTTTTGTTTCATATCAAAGTATTTTGAGATTAGTCATTTTACTATTTCCTATCTTTAACTAAAATCAATGTCAATATGTAGATCACTAGTATTGGAGATGGTGTAACTTCACTTACTATAAGTAGAGAAATCAAAGAGCAAGAATAATTCAAACCCAGGAACCAATAGCTCTGGTTTACTTATCCCTACTTTCTGCTGCAGGTGTTGCTCAGATCCTCAACAGGCTGGATAGAAAGACATTTGATGATGCTGATCAAAGGTTGTTTGAGGTAAGAGTGTTAAATTCTGTTTTGTTGTCACTTTTGGCAAGAAGTTGTGTTTTCTGTGCACAGGAAAAGAAAGTGTAAATGATGCCTTACTCTGGAAAAGCACCTCAGCAAGTAAAGTACATCTCTGCAAGGAACTACGTGCAAGTCATACAACACGTCTTAAAGCAGAGTTCACTTGGGTCAGCATAGAACCCTAGAAATTTAAACATAGTAAGCCGCTCGGCCCATCAAGTCTGTGCTGGCTCTTTTAAGAGCAATTCTTTCAGTCCCGTTTGTCTGCTCTTTCCCCACAACCCTGTAATTTACTACTTTCTAAATATCTATTGAGTTCCTTTTTGAAAGCTAATATGAATTCTGCCTCAAACACCACTCCAGCCAGGACATTCTATATCCTAACTACTCTGTGCATTAAAAAAATCTCTATCTGCTAACTATGTTCAATTGATTCCCTCTCGTCTCTGACCCACCAACCAAGTCACTGTCTCACCGACCATAGGGTTCCCTGAGGAGATGTGTTTATGTTTTGAGGCATCATTCACTCTGCCATTTCCCTTTTCAAATGTTTTCCCCCCCGTAAAAAAAGGCTACAGAAATTGCGTAAAAAGTTAAAGTTTTAAAGGTAATCCTAGTTGCTTACAGTGTTCTGCCTTTAATAAGCTTTATGTTGAGGATTCCTGGTTTAATTAAATAGATTAATTGGTTTATGATTCCTTGCGTAGTACTGATGTATTGTGGTTTCTCTAGGCATTCGTCATTTTTTGTGGTCTTGGTATCAACAATACGATGATGTACAATCAAGTGAAAAAGTCCTGGGCGAAGCAGTTGGTGGCTCTTGATGTCAGTATGTTTTTATCTTATTTTTATATTTTACAAATGTATTTTTCTGTAGATAAAATGGAACAAAGACCTGAGAAGAGTGGCTAAATAGAGTATATGAATATGTTATTTTTAATTAAGAGCAACGGTGAAAAGCAAAGCACCAAATTATTCAACAAGTGATTTAGTGATGGTAAGTCTGAGATTTAAAAATTAGTTTGTAGGAGGAACAAAAGATAGAAGAAGGAGGTAAGGGAGTTGAAGAGTGGTGAGGTCCTGAGAAAGATTGCTTTAGAATAGGAGACAATGGGAATTTCAATACACTGTATAATTAATGAGAGTTCTGGGAAGGGAGAGAGATGGGACAATATACAGTATTTGAAGGCCACAGAGTAAAGTTCAGAGAAACAATTACCAGACTATCAATAAGACAGACAAGAAAGGAAAGGGAGACAATAGAGGGCTGACATGAGAGAAGGAAAGCTCATCAAAGGTGGTTGTTGTTGTTTGAGATTGCAAGAGAAATGAAGAGACTGATTTTGAGGAATTGAAAGAAATATAATATTATCAGCTTAACTAAGAGCATAGAGGACATTAAGTGTTAGTGATTCAGCTGTTAGACTGCAAGAAACATGAAGAGTGTGTCGAATGATCAGAAGTAAGTTGAACAAAGTGTAGAATTATGAGTAAAAGAGCAGGTAAGCTTGGATAACAGTGACGGAGATAATTGCTGCGTAGCAAAAATGGAGTGGAAGAGAAAAGAGAAAAGGGAACCACTGTGTTTATGCAAAAATGTTAAACGTTGAAACATCAACTGGATATTTTGAAGTGGACATGAGAGGGCCAATAGCATAGATCTGATGCAATAACATTTACCACACTCCCTTTGCCTTGCTCCCTCCCTTGCCTTCTTCAAGGCACGTCTCAAGACCCTCCTCTTTGATAGCGCCTTCGGCCACCCTTCTATCCTTCCTGCCCTTCCCCTTCCCCGATCGCAACCCCCCCTGTTCTGGTCCAAATCCTTTACTGTCCAGCACCTTGGGACGTCCTCCCGACTTGAAAGGTGCTATACAAATGTAATTTTGTATGATTTTGAATTGTAAGATGATACGTTGTTCAGAAGTACACAGAACTAAAACTGTCAAAGACTTTGGAAATATCCAAGGGGATTAATAATAATAATCCTTGGTTTAGTATAGCTCCTTGCATGTCGAGAGGATGCTTCACAGAACTTACTATGAATAGGAGTCACTGTATTTGTAGCTAAATGTGGCAGCCCATTTGTACATAGCAATGTCTCACAAACAGCCTTGAAACGAATGACCAATTTTATTTGGGGGGTTATTAGCTAGGATACTGGAATAAATTTCCTTTTCTATTCAAGTTGTACCTTTATATATAGTGTGCTTCCCATAGGATAACATCTCAGAGTGTTGTTTTGATGCAAGTTTGGGGGATTGCAAAAATGAACATTTGTTACTGAGTGTGCACTTTTTTGTGATATGCAGATGAAGGAAGAAATTTAAATTGTTAAAATACAATCCTGCTTGTTTTGCCTATATAAGGATGAGCATTCACTCAGAAGCTGAACAATGTCACCCAATGTTTAAACGCTCATAATTCTCCAATACGGGAATCACAAGTGAGATGTTTTCTTTATTCTGTGGACCCAACAACTCTGACCAAAGGTTAGGTTGCAACTGCACATAAACTTCTGAAACCACATGTACTGCATGTAATCACTGAGTTATTTAGCATGTGAATAACACACTTGTGAAATAATAGTTCTGTGGACACTGAAATTACTGTTTGCGTTGACAGAGAAAATACACGTTCTCTTTCGAGTTCCAGTTGAGGCCAACATTTTGTTACAATCATCATATTGTGTCGTCGTACTTACGAATGATTCATTTGTAAATTGAAACCACCCTCTTTTCACTACTAGTAAAAGTAACCAGCTGTTGATTCTTCTGCTCTATGTATTTTTCAACATTTCATTGGAACTAAGTTGTGGGTTGCAACAGTTATTAAAAAAACTTAGCCCTTCAAAAGTACACATGTCCAGATTAGCAAACAATAAGGAATATTGTTTGAATGGAAAATAACTCCCACTGAAGAAACTAAAGTCATTGGGGCTCGCAGGAGTATAGTTTGTTTTGGCAGCTGAACAAGTCTGAGAGAGTGACAATCCCTAGTGCCATCAAAGGAAATATTAGGATTCTTACTGAAATGTTACCCACCAGTATAAGTTGTATTGCTTCCACACTCAATATAAATACATTTGAATGTGCACATAGTCATGGATCTTTCTCCAACCACAACTGACTGAATGTGAAGGAATATCATTTTACTTTACTACTTACAAGGAAAGGGCAAATGTATATGAGTCATTTGTAAATTGAAACTGCCCTCTTTTCACTGCTAGGTAAAAGTAACCAGCTGTTGATTTTTCAATAGTAGCAATATTATATGAAGTGAAGGTATTGCTTGCCCTAGAAATATAATCATTGTTGCCTTTTGGTTTGTAAGTTGTGCTCTATCTTCCATGTCCTATATTTACTGAAATGTCCAATAGGTCTGGTCTAAGCGATCCAGGGTAATGTTGACGAAGCAAGTGAAAATTATGTACAAACGGTCAAATTTCAGCTGCACAGATGATTTGTAAATTGTTTAACTTGTAAGAAAAATTAAGATATGAAACGTTTGCATTATATCACTGTAATATTACGTATATTTTAAAGTTGACTGTTGCATAAATTCCAGTAATAACCTTTTCTCATTGCTGCAAGAATATTTTGAATGCTCTTTTGATGGTGTTGTATTAAGGGATATTAAGTCTATGTTAAAATTCTGAGATGTCTCCTTATAAGCAGGTAAAGAGTAATTCAATTTTAGAGCCAGTTTCTAGGATGCTCAATCAGTAAACAATAGCAGATTACTGTGAAAGTATGTAATATTCCCAGTTAGCTGTTCTTCGTACAATGGACAGATAGGATCTGGATGAATACTGAAGCCCCTCACCCCATATTCAGCAGTTTGTGCAACTTATAAATATCCCAGTTTCAAAATATTTAAAAACTTAGGCAAAATATTTTCACTCAGTTTGTTGCTGTGGAATGCCCTAACAAGTTAGGTGGCCAAGGCAGAATCCATTGTGGGTTTCAAGAGGGAAGTCGATTGGTATATAAAGGATAGAGGTTTGAAGGGCATGGGAATAAGGCAGTGCAGTGGGATTGAATGTACACCTTTCTCTGAGAGCTGGAGCAGACTTGATAGGCTGAATAGCTTCATTTTGTACTGTACATTTCTACAATTCTAGGAAACAACAACAACGATTCCATTTATAGAGCGCCTTTCACGTCGGGAGGACTACACATGCAGAATAGTGAAGTGGCAGTTTTTCAGGATAATCAGTCTGAATTGATTTATTTTGATTCCAGACCATTGTACAGATAGATTATTTGTTACTATTCTGTTTTACAAGTGATATGTTGACTTATGTTTAAGGTTTATTTTCCCCAGTTTGGATTCAGGTACAATTTTATTAAAAAGGAACTTCACAATCCGATCATAACATGACTGCGTGCATGTTCTTTCAGCTTGTACTGTAACCTCTCTATGACCTATTTATGAAAAGAGAAGGGAGCTTCTCCCTGTGTCCTGGCCAACAATTCCCCAGATATAATTCGTCGTTCACTTCATTGCTGGTTGGGGGACATTGCTGTGTACAAATTGGCTATTGCATTTGCCTACAAATAGTCACTACACTTCACTGTAAAACCTTGTGAAGTGCTTTGTGACATCTCGATGATGTGATAAAATGCTTTATCAAATATAAGGATTATTATTATTATATTATCTTACTTTACCTTCTTCAGTCTTCTGTTCCTCCCATAATCTTCCAGATTTTTAAAACCTAAACTTGCTGTCACCAAACCACCTCTTCTTGGGTTATCGCCCACAAATATACAGTACAGTATATTCTGTGAAGCGCTTTGAGACTTCTAGAAGACGTGAAAAGCGCTATATCAAATGCAAGGATTATTATCATATTATTATCTCATTTTTTTGCTCCTCTTTTCAGTCTAATTGCTGCAATACTCAACTCTTCACATAGGCTTCTCAATACATTGAAGCAAATCTGGTCTAGATAAACAAACTGCTCTTCAGTTATCTAACTTCAAAAATGCTGTTTATGCTGCATATTGTTGGGATCATATTTAAAGTTACGCTGTCTCCTTCAATTGTCCTTTGGTACACTTTAATGCATCAGTGAATGCACTGAATGTGTTGAGGCCATTAATGATACATGAAACTTGTATATGTCTGTTTTTCTTGTATATCTCACAGTACATTTTGAAGTACACAAAGTCAATAAACTGAGTGAAGCTGAGATTTACTATGAACAAATCCTGCAGTTATCCCGATGTATCTCAGGCCCACTCGCTGGAATATTTAGATACTAATTTCCTGTCCGTTATTGCGAACCTCCTTTGGTTACATTGCTCCTTCATGGAATTCAGAAACTGAATCAGCATCCGAGTGAAGTTCTGGGGGGATGAACTGAGACACATCTGGGTATCTGCAGGAGTTGCATTGTGTAATTCCTTTTGAAACTCTCACAAAGTAGCCCCCAATATGATTATTTTATCTTTAAGAAAATTTAAATGAAAACCAGTACTCTGCCTTCCCTCACCCCTACCCCACCCCTCCCCCATGCTCGGGTCCTGACCCCTGATTGTCCAGCACCTTGGGATAATCCCTTTATCCACAAGAAATCCATCAATCTCAGCCCTTTGGGGTAGAGAATTCCATAAATTCACTACCCTCTGAGTGAAGAAGTTTTTCCTCAACTCAGTGCGAAAGGGCTTACCCCTAATTTTAAGACCGTGACCCCTGGTTATAATTTCTCCAACCAGGGGAAAAAGTCTATTCTGTCATGCCCCTTAATAATCTTATAGGTTTCTATAAGATCATCTCTCATTCTCCTATATTCTAGAGAATATGGGCCTAAATTGCTCAACCTATCCTCATAACTCATCCCCCTCATCCCAGGTACCAACGTAGTGAATCTACGTTGTACCCCCTCCAAGGTGAGTACATCCTTTCTTAAATAAGGAGACCAAAACTGCACACAATACTTTAGGTGTGGTCTCACCAGGGTCCTATACAGTTGCAGCAAGACTTCCCTACTCTTATATTCTAACCCTTTTGTAACAAATGCCAACATACCGTTAGCCTTCCTAATTGGTTGCTGTACCTGCAAACTAACTTTTTGTGACTGGTGTACAAGGACACCCAAGTCCCTCTGAACGCTTACACTATCAAGTCTCTCTTCTTCTAAAAAATAATCTGCTCTACTGTTTTTGCTACCTAGGTGGATGACTTTACATTTCCCTACATTATACTTCATCTGTCACCTATTTGCCCACTCACGTAGCCTATCTATATCTCGTTGCATTTTTTTAAATGTCATCCTCGGTGTTTACTCTCCCTCCTGGTTTAGTGTCATCCGCGAATTTGGATATATTAAGTTCAATGTCCTCATCTAGATCGTTGATGTAGATTGTAAATAGGTGAGGCCCAAGCACTGATCCTTGTGGCACTCCACTAGTCACATCCCACCAATCTGAGAAGGACCCATTTATCCCTACTCCTTGTTTTCTTCCCGTTAGCCATTCTTCAACCCATGCTAATATATTCCCCTTAATTCCATGGGCCCTAATCTTGTGGATCAACCTTTTATGTGGCACCTTGTCAAGTGTCTTTTGAAAATCTAAATACACTACATCCACTGATTCCCCCCTATCTAATCTACTTGATATGTCCTCAAAAAAATCTAAAAGATTTATTAAGCATGACTTCCCTTTTGTAAAGCCACGTTGACTCTGTCTAATCATATTGTGATCCTCTAAGTATCCCACTACGACATCCTTAATTAAGAATTCTAGAATTTTCCCTACCACCGATGTCAGACTAACTGGTCTATAGTTCCCCATCTTTTCTCTCCCACCCTTCTTAAATAGTGGTGCGACGTTTGCGATCTTCCAATCAATGGGAACTGTTCAGAATCCAAAGAATTTTGGAAGATCAGACACAAGGCCCCCACTATCTCATGAGCTACCTCTTTTAAAACCCTAGGATGGAAACCATCAGGTCCAGGGGATTTGTCACTTTTTAATGCCAACAATTTCCCTAGCACCAATTCTTTGCTAATGTAAATTTCCCTAAGTTGCTTCCTATCATTAGCCCCTTAGTTCATCTCTATTTCTGGTAAACTTCTTGTGTTTTCTAACATGAAGACAGAAGCAAAGTATTTATTTAGGGACTCTGCCATAGCCTTATCCCCCATTATAATTCCTCCTATCTCTGCCTGTAATGGACCCACATTTACTTTTGCTAGCCTATTCCTCTTAATGTATTTATAAAAACTCTTACAATCTGTCTTAATGTTCCTAGCATTCCTTAATGCCCTCATAATCCATTTTCTCGCTCTTAATGAGCTTTTTGGTTTTCCTTTGTTGATCCCTAAAACACTCCCAGTCCTCAGGTTTGCTACTCTTTTTGGCAGTTTTATAGGCCTTTTCTTTAGTTTTATATTTTCTCTTAACTGCTCTAGTTAGCCACGGATGAACTGCTTTCCCTGTGGTACTCGTATTCCTCAAGGAAATATGAGTTTTGAGTTTGTCAAGATAACATTTTCAAAATGATATTTTGAATTTACAGAATATAAGACTGTAAGGATGTACAACTTTGTGGAAAAAATATTATGGACCATCTGGACGGTCCCCAAAAAATCACTTCTTCACTGCTCAAACTCTTACAGCCCTCAATTAATTTTGTTTTCTGTTGAATTTGTTTGTAATCTGTTTCTACTGCCTCTCTGTGTGGTCTGTTCTGGAGTGGAACCCCATTATAACATGCTTCTCTGTCATGGTGGTAGGGTGTGGACCCCATTATTGACTTTAAAAATCCCAAACTTGGGTAGAAAGCCAGCTGACTGGTTTCCAAGCCCCAGCTGGCTTCTTGTGCTCTAAAAATGGTTGACTTCCAGGTCATTAGGTTGATGTCAGTTCCCATACAGCAACATGTGACAAGTGGCTTCAGGGTAACCTGATGTCCTGCAATCGGCCTTTTTTAGTGCAGGATGCACCAGAGTGAATGTAGAAGCTCTGATACATTTTCATGCCCTGTTTTAATGCTGGCTGGGATTTTATGGAGCTCCCAACTCCCTTTTTATACAGGGATCTAGTGTATTCACTGCTCTCTGAATGAATTAGTTAAATCAAAACTGCAGAATATAAATAGGCATTTATGACGGGTCCTCCAGCATGTTCAAGCACAGTTTGGGATGCTGATGGGGAAAGCTATTTAAAAATTTTTTTTGGTTATTGTGACTCATTGAGTTTGCAATGAGTGTAAAGATTAGATTTTGCTCTGCCAGAAAATACATAAAGTGGGAACGGAGCAAGCATTTGTGTTAGAAAGAAAGAAATTGCATTCTTATAGCGTGCTTTCATGACTGAAATGTCTCAAAGCACTTCACAAGTAATTACTGTCAAGTGTAGAGACAGGTTTTTGCAGGCGAATGTGGCAGGCATTTGTACAGCAAAGTCTTACAAACAGCCAAGAGGTAATTGATCAATTAATCTGCAGGATTGTTCTGAGAAACTCCCTTCTCTTCTTGAATAGTGCCACGGGGTCTTTAACGTTCACCTGAAAACAGGCAAATACGACCTTGGTTTAAAGTCTCAACCTTCAACAATGTAGCTCTGCCCTAATTATTTTACCTTAGACTATAAAATCACGTCCCAACAAGGGACTTGAACCCACCACCTTCAGACGCTAAGCCAAACAGATGCAGCAACTGATTTTAAGGGATACTATCTTTCTGAAAAATGGTTTGGAAAGACAATTTGATTAATTTGGGGATGGAGTCGAGCCAGAATAACTGTGTGTCATTTTCACCCTGATGTGTTTAGACCTAATTCATGCAATCTGTGAGGTTTTAAACACATTGCTTTTAAACACATATTTAAAAAGATTTTCTTAATATGTTTTCTTGAAAGTGGTGGCCCTTTAATTCTGTAATATTTAATGGTAATAGTTATTTTTGTTCTTTGGTTTAGATGCTGTCCTACCATGCGACATGCTCAAAAGTAGAGGTTGATCGACTGAAGGTAAATTACTTCCTTTAGATGCCCAGCTAGCACAGTTTCTGATATCATTGGGTAGCTAGAATCTATCCCCCCCAATTAAATCCTGGAAATTGCATTCCCCTAAATTAAGCCTTTGTCAATGGAAATATGAAATCAATACATGCATGCGCACCTGTATCTGGGTTTCTATCACAGCCTCGCTGCACTTAGCTGGCTTCCCTGCAGATTGTAAAACAAGCCCAGCTTCCAAATCAAGATTGAATTGATGTGTTTTTTTTTAAAACTCGATTGTGCTGAATTCTTGTTAAATAATAGATCAACAGGGGAATTTCATTCACAAGATGTTTTATACATCAACATGCGTGACTGGGTTTATGAATTAGTAAACAGGTTGTTGATTATAAATCTGCTAGCTTATGATTAAATGTAATGCGTTTTTTCACGACTCTCTGCTGCCACATGAATAATACCTAATACCAAAGAGTGGTCAGTTCAGATAATTTATTAAAGTAATAAAACCTCCTCACAGTGAAAGAAGCAAATGGATGAATTTAAGGCCTGCTCTCCCCTATTACACAAAGAATTATTGCATATTACCTTTCTTGTGCATGCCTGTGCTATAATGTCTATTTTTATCCCTTGCAGTAAAATGTTAAGTATTGTGGGTAATGAATTATTATAATCACAAATACTGATAAGTTATTGCGATTATTTTATGTACGGATATTTCCCATAAACATTCTCACAGCACGTTATATATATTAAGTGCAGCTACTTAAGTATTGGCATTGTCGTTTGCATAGAATATATATGTCTAAGCGCTAAATACTTTCTTCAAACATCCATTGCAAGGGTAGAAGTATTTTAAGAATATACCTTAAAAGTGTGCCGCACTGCGGTGTCTAACAATATTTCTGAAACCATTACAAAATTTAATGAGTATGGCAAAGGGAGATGATTTGCAAAGAGGCACTTTTATATGATTTTTCTGTAAGTGAGTCAGTCACAAAATACAGTATTGCTTTACCTTTTATCTGTACATCTTATTATTTTTCGAAAAATGCTTTTCCCTTTCTTTTCTCGATTACTCCCTATTTTTCCCTTCATTTGCCTGGTCTCTTTATGTTGTAGAGCTGACACCAAGAACAGCTCTAACATTGGTGGCTGTAATATAAAGAGAATGTCTTTGTGATCTGAGGTTGTTACCCCAGAGGGTGTTTTCTCAGCATTCCCTCAGTAACATCAGCAAATATCAATACTTGCTGACACTTGTATTTGACATCACTTTTTTTGATGAGAGGTGGACTGGGCTCTCAACCCACCTGTTGTGGATACCATTGGGATACTTTTTGTATTGATCCACCTTTCAATCAGGCTGAGAGCCTACTGTTAGAAAATAAGTCATAATTTCTGATCCTGAAACAAATGAGCATAGATGAATGTGTGCAGTTGTTTGACCCTCACTACTTGTTCTGTGAAATCTGCCCATCTACACAGATGGGGCAATTCCATAATATAAAAAGCTCTGGTGAAGATGTTCAGTAATATTATATCCATGGATGCAGCAGGCAGGATAGCTCAGCAGTACAGATGCATCAATTTTACACTAGTCTTGTACTGGAAGATTACTTGAAAACCTGCCCTGTCCCCAAACAAAGTTTATTTCGTCTTATTGAAACCCACTGTAGCTGACCAGTGAAGCTTGCCCTCAAGAAAAATTAATGTGAATGTTAATCAAGATTGGGATTTTAACGTCGATATCCATATCAACAGTTTAGCATTTTAAAAACGGGCTGCTTAGACTACCTTTTATTTACTAGTTACATCATTTGAGTATTTTCTTAAATAATCAAGTAATTATTTGTATTTTAAATTAAAAGCCTTTGATGAATCTCCCACTTGGTTTTACAACTGCTGGATCCAGTGAACAATTGATCAGGGTGACCTAAATTGCATTCCATTCATTACCATTTTGCTTTTGTAAGGTGTTCAGTTTTAAAACACGTTACCAAGCACTCCATCTTTGTCCATTACCCAGAGTTTCCAAAGGTTCTTTAAATTGTTTATTACAGATGTAAATCAGGTATATTGATTGCATATATACAGAAACATGTTAAATGTGGTAAATCAAAATGTGATCATCACTCATGACCAGGTAATGAAACCTTCCGTCTGTAGTAAAATAAACAGAAGTCAATGGCAACATAGCTTAATAGAGTCTAAGTGTCAACTCTTGGTGAATAGAAATCTTCTTTTGAGTGACAGCCACAATTCGCCATTAAACAGTCTTTCCTTATATGAACAACTTTAGGAAAATGCACAAGAGTTTAACAAAAGTAGCAACTGACATAAACAATGCAATAGTTCCACAAAGTGAAATGCAAACATTGAGAATTGTATCATGTTTCTCATGTCAGTTTACCATAAATGAAAACTATTTTGTTCCATGTTTTATTCACTGAGAACCAGTATATTTTTCAAATTTGTTTACAAAGCTGGGGGAAAAGTTACATATAAATATTTAAACAATTACTCCTTACGCGATTAGTTCCGAGATGCTTTCTAATTTAACTTTCAAGTATTTTTCTGTTTGATTCCCTATTTTTACTGCTGTACCTTGTTTTCAGTTTTGAAAGGTTCTCAAACTACATAAAAATCAATCATGTTTGCAATATTCAGAATACGTTCCAAACTTTCTGAAGAACCTTCTTTAGAAATGTTTCTCAACATTGAAGTAATAGCAAAGTTGTGCAGTAATCTAAGCAATCTAAGGCAGATATGAAGATGTAGACATCTCCTTAACCTTACAAACCAAAGCCATAAAGGGTAATGTGGTCGTAGCTGGACAAGTGCTAAAGCGTTTACCATTATTCATAAGCAATTTATGGATCTTTTATGCCTTTTACAATATAATGTGTAACCTTTTCTCCTTTACAAAATGTTCTCAATTTGGCTTCTACCAGGAGACATCTTGTTAACAGCCAAATTTAGCATAGCCAATGTTGATACTACTTTGTGGTCAGACAGCAGGAGATGGGGTATTGAGGACATTTATCCAAGCACTTCTTGCCAGCATAAACAAGTTAAAACTTAATAGTTTTTGTGGCAAATGCTGGCTTCAAACAGCAGGCATTAAGACCATGCCAGCATATGAACTAAGATAAAATACAATCCTAGATTTGTTGAAATATTTGCAGCTTGCTTTCTTTTATCTGTACTTGATAACAGTTGTGTACTTTTACCTAGGCTGCAAAAATTCCATCTGTAAGTGAACTGGGAATTGCCAATTTTTACTTCAATGATTTTTCCCTCGATAGCGATGGAATGATCACAGCCTCACTAAGAATGTTTATGGAGCTGGGAATGGTACAGAAATTCAAAGTAGATTACGAGGTAAGAAAGGATTCTGTGGATGGACGTGTTTGCTTTGTTGTAAATATGTGTGTGCCATTACACAGATTTGGTCCTGGGCAGTGCAAGTATTTGTGAGCTATCCGTGTTCAATTAAATGGGCATAACAGGTATGTTGAATATATTTACTTGTTATGATATTGCTTCTAAGTTATCAAGAATTTTCCTTATAACATCCACTGTTGGTCCTCTGGAGCACAGTGTTAAGAATCAACCATATATTTAGTCAGATATTGGGGGTCTAATTTGAAATATTGGTTTTGAATCCAATATGGAATTTTAACAAGGAGTTTTCCCTGAATTTAAAAATCCTTGTATGGATTTTAAACCACATTCCTGGTTTACACCAGGAAATTGACTGTATGTGGTCAGTTATTGTTATTGCAAACATATATAATATATATATACTAGTCATTGTAGTAGAATGTGCATTAGTAAAACCTGCAAGCGTTTTTCATGAGGGTGAGCATATTACTTGTTAAAATATTGATTCACCCATTTCCCAACCTAAATATATTCCAGTAATACCATTAACGATAAGATTTATATCCCCTACATATAAGTCATAAAAATAATACATAAGGGGTGATTGTACTCTGTGCACTTAGTGCATGCTGGTTTTAGTGTCAAATGGAGCATCAACCCTTTCCTCTCACTCTCAGGTGCTCACTAAAATACAACTTCTTTAGTATAACTGTAAATTGTCATTTTGCAACATGTTGAGAGCATTGTCCTGATCATAGTTAGAAGCTTCAATAGAAATATTCTCCTGATGTTTAATTTTTAGCAGAGTTCTACTTTATTAGTATGAAAGCATGTCATTAGAAATGAGCATTCACACAACAGTGTATGTCAGGCCAGCGTAATGTGTGATGATGCAGCAGTCTATTAATTACCAGTAAGCAATGCACCTCATTGCTATTGAATTCTATTGCGACAATATAATGTTTCTTAACTCAATGGGAAGCTGACAGGAAAGTAAGAGATACTATCAGACCTTCTTCTATTTCACTTCCTTCCCCTTTCACCAACACCAGCCAGAAACCCAAGTTATATTATGTTATTTAGGTTGAATGGAGAAGCAATTTGAACCTCATTAATGAGCTCAAGTGTGCTCTTGTCTAGAATTGATAGCAGTAATTTTTTTCCTGTACGCGTAAGTACAACTCCTTCGATGATCTATATAGTATTGTTTTTATTTTCTTTCAGAACACTGTGAGGATCATAAACAATATTTCCCAGCTGTCTGGTGTGCGTTGCATACATCGTGTTCCTGCTGTTTTTACCTTGTGAACATCAGGTCTGGTATCTTGTTCACTCGGGAAACGGAACCGTAGCAGCAGGTCAAACATAACCTTTACCAAATGATTTGCTTTCAAAGTGTCCCAAGGCCAAAATGTAGGACATACGTCAAACATCTTCAACAATAATGAGAGCATCTTTTGGAATAAGATATGGATCACTTACGTACCACCTTTCTTTTTCACCTTACCTTTGTTTAATATCTTCAATGGAACCTTTTCCTTGGAAATATACTGATGTTTTTAATAGGTCTCCTAACAACTTGGATAGTCCCCATGATGTCTTTAGATTTTCTCATGACGGGTGAGGGGGTTGGAGGCCCCAGTCAGAAAGCACACCATGTGCTTGACCTGATTATTGCAATGCCAGGCAGATGAAGAAGAAGAACAGAACAATATGGTAATCAAATGAAAAATAAAATAAAAACAGCCCATGTCAAGATTTCCTTCCAGGCTAATATATATTTTACTTGGTATCAGCATGGCTCACTTTCGCCTCTGGGTCAGAAGGTTGTGGGCATAATTTGTCTGCCCCCCCCCCACCCAGGACTGGGGGAATAGTGCATTGATGGAGCTGACAACATTTGGATGAGACATTAAACCGAGGTCCCGACTGCCTGTTCAGGTCGATGTTAAAAAAAAAAATAACAATCTTCAGAAAGTGAAGGGAGTTTCACCCGATGTTCTGGCCAACAATAAGCCACATATTATTGGTCATTCACTTCATGGCTGTATGTGCGACCTTGCTGTGCACAATTTAGCTGCCGCACTTACTGACAAATATACAATCACACTTAACAAATATTTAACACTTAAATATACAGTAGACTTGACAGAAATTCTCTATGCATCTCTTTGAGTCATTTTGATGTTATAGGCACAATGTCAAATGGAAGATTGTTTTACCTGTTTAAAAAAAAGTGAATTCTACCCATGTCATCAGAATGAACTAATGGGTGTAATGTTTTGTGCTGTTTCAGGTTCTATGCCGCTGGCTCCTCACAGTGAGAAAAAACTACCGTAATGTTCCATACCACAACTGGCGCCATGCCTTCAATGTTGCTCAGTGCATGTTTGTCATGATCACAGTAAGTCAGCAGATAAGTGTAAATTCCCATTTAAGCAGACGTTAAGAACTGTGCATGTGAATCACAGCATAATATTGTTTGGGACAAGTTATCCGAGATATTATAATAGAACCAAAGAACCATAGAAATGTACGATACAGTAGGAGACAATTTTTTCAAAGTGGGTTTGAAAAAAATGGCCCGAATGGTCCTTGAAGAATCAATCCATCCTAATCAAAATTCCCTGATCGTTTCCAGTACCCTCGCATTCTCTCTTCAATGCCCCAAATGACTCTGCTCTAAACAGCCACCCCTAGCAGAGCATTTCATTATGAAGAATTTTTTCCTAAATTTCAAAAGCACCAATTAATTCCCACTGTATTTGATTAAGTACCAGTGGGCCAATTTGAGAACAACAACAATAACTTGGATTGATATAGCACCCCTCATGCAGGGTAGTGTCCCAGAGCACTTGACGGATATATTTGATTGATCGCTTGATTGATACATGGAATAATTTAATTTCTACAAGGATACCCTAATTAACTGGAGCAACTATAAACTAACTCTTGTGATATTTCGGGAGCCTTTAACTTTGCAATTTGTGTTGTTTGCATGATAATAACCAGCTAGGAGAGCAATACTGCTATTGTGGGGTGAAGCATTCTGCGTTTTGTAATGTGTTTCATGTTACAAGATCAACGGAGAGGAGTGTTTTTTCATTCTGGTAAAATAGGTCAAATGCTAAAACAGCCTGGTTGTCATTATAGGTCAGGTGATCTCAGAAATGAGAATGCGTAAACTGAAACCAGAATACGTTGACACTCACTGTATTGTTAAACAAGAGCATTAAAGCAAAACACGTGAGAACTCTATGGTTTACACACAAATATATGATTCATACCTGTTGAATATTTTGTAGCTTCAAAACATATGTACTGGATAGCTGGGAGTGAATTCATAAATGATAATTTATGAGGACAAACCCTGGGGACAATGGGGGTCTAAACCCTGATTTTTATAAAGGAATTTGCTGTATTGTTGTGACTTCTGGTCTCCGAATATTGGATTGCGAGATTTGGCTGACAAACACAAATCCCAATCTGGTAAGGAGCAAACAAAAGGCCAACAAGCGAAAGGTTGACTATTTCCCACCGGCATTTTTCTTGCCGGTCTTTATTCAGGTTGAAATTGTTAGAATTGAAAGTTTTAGACTCTTATTTGAAAACAGGAAATCATCATCATTGGACACAAAGGCAGTTAATGCATATTGCATTTTCGTCCTCAATGTTTATAATAATAATAATAATCCTTGCATTTGATATAGCGCCTTATCACATCGTTGAGACGTCTCAAAGCACTTCACAGAATATATTGTGAAGTGAATTGACTGAATTTTATGGGCAAAATGCGACAGCCAATTGCACACAGAAGTGTCCCACAGACAGTTATGGATTGAGTAACCACATTTTTTTTTGAGGGATTATTACCACCGGAAAAGCGATCTGCCAATTGACTAAAGCTTGAACCACAATGGAGAAAGGATACCCACTAATTTTGAGAAAGTGTCATGTAGATTCAAAAGAATTCTGCCAGGGATGGGGAGAGGGTGCTACAATATAGTGAAACATTGGTTAGATTACGGATGTGTTCTCTGGTGCTGAGGCTGTTGAGGGGTGATTTGATTGAGGTGTTTAAGATTGTAAAGAGATTCAACACATAGAGAGAAAACATTTTTTCTCCTGATGGGCCTATTAGTTACCAGAGAGAGGACTTAACCGTCAAAATTAGACTAAAGTGGGTTAGGGCTGAGGCATGGATGATTTCTTCTCATAGAGATTGATGAAAATTTTGGAATGCAAGGTCCCAGAAAACAATTCAGAATAGCAAAAACATGAGATACATGGAAAGAGATGGGAAGTGAGATTAATAAAAAAGTGCACGTTATAAAAATGAGTAGTACTGGTTCAGTGTTCAGTGTTGAAAGTTTTCATTCAGTAATAAATATACCATAGAAATTTACAGCATAGGAAGAGTCCATCTCTACTGTAGAGTATCTCTGAAAGAGCTATCCATTTGGTCTCGTTCTACTGCCTTTCCCCTTACGTGTTTATATCTGCTCCTTGAAGGATTCAAGAAAGAAATGAATACGTTTGTTTGCAAGATCACTAAATCATAAGATTGATTTGGATGAAGAAGGCCCTTCAACCCATTTCATCTCATCCTACCAGAATGCACACCCCTCCTTCCAGCCACCACAGCATCAACCTGTTTTTAAATGAGTTCAGCATCCTGGCTTAAACCTGATCTGGCAAACTGTTCCAATGAATATTGATTCTGACCGTGCCTTCAGTCATCATCCCTCATCCACCCCCCTTGCTTTCCACCTCTCTTGATCCCAACGCACAGCTCTGGTGCAAACACCTCATTGTCCAGTGCTTTGGAACGTCCTCCCGATGTGAATGACGCTATATGAATGCAATTTTTGTTGTTGTTGTATTGAGGGAATAGCCCGAAGAAATATTAAATGACATGGTGTTTGGCTATGATACTGTGGTTGAATCACCTACTTTCACACATTGTCGAGGTGCACACATGCATAGTGTTACTTGGATGAGGTAATGGAAGACAACTGGTGCCTGTGGAAATTTACCCTAGTGGAAGGAAATTGAGTTAAATGGCTTCTAGAGAGAAATGGAGAATGAAAGAAACTTGAAATGAAAGTTGACATGAAAAAAGATGAATGGGAACAGCGCTGATTGATTGTTTGTCTACAAAATACACAGTTACTGCACTTTACTGTAGGTCCTGTGAAGTGCTTCGAGACATCCTTCTGACGTGAACAGCTCACTATCAATTGCAAGAATTATGATTGTCATTAATAGTTAAAAGCAGAGGCTGAGTTAGCAGATAGTGATGGACTAATGTGATCCCATCGTGACTAAATAACAATGATTCCCTTAGAGGTGTTGGAATTTAATTCTTTTGCAGTTTTAAAGCAAAAATTACTGACAAAATTAGGACTTAATCATGATATGAATGTTGATTGTCAATGTTTTTCCTATCTTCCTTCAGACTGTTGGCTTCCGGGAGATTATTTCTGATGTTGAAATCCTCGCCTTGATGGTGGGCTGTCTGTGTCATGACCTTGACCACAGAGGAACAAACAATGCTTTCCAGGCAAAGTAAGTAAGAGATGCAGTTTGTATGGTAGCACCTCGTAAAGGGAAAAAATATCAGCAATAAAGCTACGCCTTTCCATTCGATGTGCTATAAAATATCCTCGAATGGTAAACATCCAACATTCCGAACCTCTTCACAGCACTTTGAGCACCACTAGAGCGGGGTAATGAGAGGCAGTCATAAAAGTAAATTTAGCGGTTAATAAAATTTCATGGCAGATGAGGTAATTGCAAATAATGCAAATGTACTTTTGCTGCTAAAATATAATATCCCCTTTTACAGCATTAGAGCACTGGAAAAATAGATTTCGATAAACCCCAGATCAATACTTCAATGAATTAATCTCATAAGAACATCATTAAACAAACTTATCTCTGGTTGAGTTTTTTTTAAACTCAACCATTATATATTAGCACCACTTCATGTCTGACATTGCTGACAATGCTGAGCTGCCCTGACGAAGCATTCATTATGTTAGATGAATGATGAAAGCATGCTTGCTGCCTGAGGACCATGCATATGTTTGGTGGCAGGATTGAGAGGGGGAACTTCTTTCAGTATAAGGTTGAGAATCTGATTGTTATGGTTACACCTAAATATCTGCTGATACTATCCTTGACCAAAGGCGTGGGGGAGAGAGAAAGTTCTAAAACATGTGCTAGTCCTCAGTCACGTTGAAGGTTTGTACATGAACTATCAGTTATAACAGAGAATAACTTAACTTGTAGAGTACAGTCAAGTGAAACGAAACAAGACAAGATGCCTTCAGGAGCGGAGGAACTCTGACAGTATTTTCTTCACTTCAGCTTTGCGTATCCTGAGTACAGTGTAGAGTACATTTTGGCTCTGAAAAAGAAGCCTGAATCAACCTGAATACTCCCCATTCGTCCTTTCAGTCAGATTGTTTCAGAAAGAAAAGTCATTGTTGTTCTGCCTCCTATATGGTTCTCGAGCTCCTTCTTCATCTCGTAGATTGGAAAAATGATGTACTGCTGGGTCTCTGGTTGAGCTATCTGCACAATGCAATTGGTCACGGTTCATTAGTGTGAATTGTAAGGTTGGATTTATATCTGGAAGTCTCGCTCGATTAGATTTGGGGAGAAATTTCACAGATCTTTATCTTCCTAAAGGTTTTGCCTGTGATTAGTTTGCCTCCCTCAGGACTTTGAGTGAGGTGTGAAGAGATCTTGATGGCACAAATTGTACAGATCTGAAATGTCATTTTTCCTTATATTTATGACAGAATTGTAAAAAAATCTGAAATTCAGTCTGGATTTGGAAGACGATTCTTTATAAGAAGTACTGTATTTCCAAGTTAAGACTGAATGTAACAATTTTTCACAATTCTGTGCAATATTAAATTTTAAGACAGAATGGTCTTATAGTCCATAGGAAGTGGAATTTCAAGCCTTCTATCTGTGGAGAAAACGTTATATTGCTTTTTTTCAGTTCATACTTGCTTTGTTTTACCATCTAAGAAACATACGGGTGCTTGCTCACCTCACCTCAAGCCAGCACAATGTTTGATAATGCTTGATCCTGTCATCAGGGGCAAAGCTAAACCTTAATTTGCTCTTACTGTGAAATGAATGCTGTGGTCACTGAGCCTGTAACCACACATACAATATGTTTGGTGTGAGGTATGGGAAGGGAACTTTGTTTTATATAACATTGAGAGAAGCAACATGTTCAGCACCACCCTCTCCTATGTGATAGCAAACATTTTTTTACATAAAAAACCTGTACATAATAAGTAGCACTTGGGTGCTTTACTAATGTCATCAAATTTATATTGAAAATTAATAAAGACAAAAGAAAACTTCTTGATCTGTTTATTCCAGAAGTTTCATTTCATTAGGAATCTTGTTTTGAAGTAGATTGTTGGACTTGGTATATTAGTGTGTCTGTCAAGTCAGTTTGTGGCACAGCAGGGAGTTGTACAGTACATATATTCTTTATAATATTTTTTTCCCCCAATGATTAATGCTATTGACCTCCCCTCCCCATCTAAATTGAGGTGCCCAACGGCAAAGTAATAATATTAACCTACACCACAGTGTCCGGCAACTTTTTATCCTGAATAATTTAGTGAACTACAGTGATCTCTTGGCTCATTTCCAATTTAAATTTATACATGTGCAAGTACGGATGACAGCACAAATTAGATATCCTTGTGTGCACATTCAGATTTCACGAACAACTTTTGCTACTGAATCTCATTACTGCTTTAAAATTCCAAATGTAATGAACCAGGGGATGCTTGCGCCATGCCCTAACATGCACACTGGTTGTTTGCTACTGATACTTTGACAGCTCCCACAGTTTTTCCGTTTGATCCTCCTGCAGGAGCAGATCTGCACTAGCCCAGCTATACGGCACGTCCGCCACTCTGGAGCACCATCATTTCAACCACGCTGTAATGATACTGCAGAGTGAGGTAAGTAAGTGCAGCAAAAGCACTGACTCCAGGCACATTTCAAAACTAAAACCTATTTGCAAATACAATATAAGGCACAGACAAGGTTCCCATTTTTAATAAACATGGTTGCTGAGCTGCAAAATGCCATGCCGTATAAATTATACTGTTATGCGTTTATAGCGTGAGAATTTATAGGTTGGTAATTATTAAACCCAAAGTCTAATATCAAATATATATGCATGACTGCCCACAAAATTTAAAACTGGGACTTTATTGCAAAGGAAAGTTTATGCTTATGAGAATTCTTTAACAGAAATCAAGTTGATTAGTGCCAGACAATTGGTTTGTTATCCGATAATATATGTGATGGTGTTTTCAGAAATGCAGAGTGCAAGAGTGCAGAGTGAAATGCTACACACCAGCAATTTCTATTCATTTATGAAACAACGAAACAGGCTCCAAACCATTACCTCTTACAAGTTGTACTTTAAATACTCTTTTTACCACAAATCCCCCTCCCCCCCTCCCCCCACACCTCCTCCACACAGGTTAAATTACAAACTAGGGTTCACTAGATGACAACCCTTTCTGTTTCTGAGCAGTTTTGCTGGAAATTTCTATACAGGGCGAGTCAATTGGGAGAAGCTTTAAATCTGGACCAGGGAAATGCTGATTTCCCACTTACTCGATGGACACTGAAGTACTTTTTAAAGTAAACAAATTGAGGTTTAAAAAGCTGATCTAGTGGCTAGGTTTCAAAAACAAACAAAATCCATTGCAAAGTGGGGCCAATCAGTTCTTGATCAGCAAAGTTTTTGCTCTCCAAATTCAGGAAATGTTTGTTTTAAAATATGGATATCTTCAGAATACAAGAACTCATCATTTTCAGCAACTTATCTACTAAGATGATCAAAACCCAGCAGGTATGGAGTCCTGAATTGTGCCCACAAATACGCGTATATAAACTTTCATTCTGTTAGTTCAGGTAGAGATATTAAATGGATGCAATTGACATCTGTATGTTTGTGCCATCTGTCAATATTCTTTTAAAGCATATATAAACATTGCGATGCATTTGAGCCTTTAACACCAGCCTGCTTTTAAGCACTCTCGTGGGCACGCTACCCTGCGTGGAGGGGGTTATATAAGTGCAAGTTGTTGTTGCTTCATGTCCGTCCCACTATCAGCAGGCAGCTATTCTGCCCTCGATCTCAGAACTCGCTCTTTCCCTCACTGCGTTCAAGATCCGTCTGAAGGCCATGCCTTTGGTCAACTTTTTCCTCCTCACTCCATTCAGCTTCCATGCCCAAGCCCAGCCACCAGTCTTTGAGATGTTCTCCTGTTTAAATGTGAATTGTATTATATTAACAGAGTTGTTTATTATACAGTGTGAGAATGTGCAAAATATGCACATTCACAAACTTTAATGAAATGTATGAAATCACACATAGCAAACATCAATTTGACACTGGTCACTGCCTTAATAGGCAGGAAATAACCCTCTTTTGCCTCCATAATAAAGGATCACCAATTGAGATATGCGGATCAGAAATGTCTGAGCTGTCTCTTGCCAAACTGAACGTTTATTACATCCAAAACTGGCCATGGGTGGGGAGAAGAGTGAAATTCCAACTATCAACAAATATAACTACATTGTTGAGATGCCATAACCAGCGGTTCACCACCTTTGGGAATAATCTACTTATCTAGTCCTCACCAACCCACCTGTCACAGATTCATCTACTCAGTCGTTGTGACCAACAAGCAATCGTTGTGACCACCATGCAATGCTTGTGAAAGAATTCTCATCTCCACTGTAAGGACACCCTTCACCTTGTGATGTGGCACTACCATTGTGTTAGGCCAGGAAAGGGAAAATTAAGGACAGATCTAAGCATCCAGGAGGCTTTATATAGACCATTATCAGCAGCAGAATTGCACAGTTCTACTGTAATGTTAGAACCCAGCACTTCTCTCATTTCACCCACAAAACTTACAGTCAATTCACTTTACAATATATTCTGTGAAGTGCTTTGAGACGTCTGGAAGACGTGATAAGGCACTATATCAAATGCAAGGATTATTATTATGATTATTATTATTATATTCACCTTTCACCATCAAGCTAGGAGACCAACCCTGATTTTATCAGGAATGTAATGAGAGGATCTGCCAGATGTCAGACAGAATGAAGTGCCAACCTAGTGCAGCAGCTACAAAAGACTTACCTGCACGCTAAATACCAAAAACAACATGCTCTAGATCAAGCTAAGTGATTCCCACAACCAATGGAACAGAGAAAAGCTTTGATGCCCTGCCACATTCAATAAGGAAGGAGGAGGCTGCATCAACATCCCATTCTAAATCATGTTGAGCGTAGGATATGAGAACAAAGTACAAGGTTGAAGGGTTCAAAAACAACTTCAGTGAAAAATAATGAGTGGATAATCTTACTCGGCCTCCTTCCGCGGTTGCCAGTGTCCAGCCAGTTCGGCTCATGTCAACAACAACAACAACTTGCATTTATATAGCATCCTTCACGCAGGGTAGCATTTTGAAGTGCTTAACAATAGTGGAGCTTGACAGCAAGCCGGAAAGATCGGAGGTGATCACAGGCACAATCAAAGAGGAAGATCTTGAGGTATGAACTGAAGACGGACAAGAAGAGGGATTGAGGCAAAGAGTTCCAGTCTCGGCCCTCGTGGCTGAAAGTACACCCAGAGATGGTGGATTGGAGGGAATGTGGGACATGCAGGAGTCTGGAGCCAGCTGTACGAAGAGGGCGGGTACTAGAATGGGATGTAAGCAGATCGGAGAGCAGGGAGACTCCAGAACTTGAAGTGATTTGTACATGAGTGTGAGGATCTTGAAATTGATCCGTCATGCAATAAGGGAGCCAGTGGAGCCTGGTAAGGTTGTCACATATATCACGTGTATCAAGCAGCTGAGTACACTAGATCTTGCAAAAGCTATAAGTCCTGTTAACTGATAACTGCCTATAGTCATGTTGGTTCAGTATAGCTATAACACTGGCAGCTACTCGACAATGTCGAAAATTGTTCTGGAATGTCCTAGCCACACGAAACAGGACAAATGCGATCCAGACAATTAGGGTGCCATAAGTCTCCACAGTGAGGTGATGGAATGAGTCATCAATAGTACCATCAAGAGACAACCGCTCACCAATGACCTGCACACAAACTCTCAGTTCAGGTTCTGTCAGAACCTCATCATAGCTTTGATCCACACATAAGAACATAAGAATTAGGAGCAGGAGTAGGCCATTTGGCCCCTCGAGCCTGCCCCGCCATTCGATAAGATCATGGCTGATCTTCTGACCTAACTCTAATTACCTGCCCTATCCCCATATCCCCTAATCCCTCTATTTTTTTAAAAATCAATCAGTCTCAGCCTTGAAAATGTTCAAGGACTGAGATTCTACAGCCTTTTGGGGTAGTGAATTCCATAAATTCACTACCCTCTGAGTGAAGAAATGTTTCCTCAACTCTATTCTAAAAGGCTGGACTGAGTGAGAATGACATCCTTACACATCAAGGTGGCATTTAACCAATTATGGTACCAAGGTCAATAAGAGTCAGGGGGCTGAAGTCATACCATGGTTATTAGGGGACAAACATCACAGGCCAGGACATTGAGTAGGAATTCCTCAGGGCAGTGTGCTCAGCCCAATCTTCTTCAGATTCTTCATCAATGATCTTTTCCTCATCAAATCAGGAGTAGGAGTGCTCTCACTGTTCATCCTCATTCCTAACACCACTGACAATGAAACAGCTCATGCCAGCCTGGAGCGATAGTTGAGGCAGAATCCAGGTCAGCTATTAAAGAGAGAATTAGATAGATACCTGAAAATGGGAAATATAAAATGTTAGGAGAATGAGGCTGAAAGGATAGCTCCTTCAGAGAGGCACCCTGGGCACGATTGGCCAAACAGCCTCCTTCTGTGCTGTAAATGGCTATAGTTGTGCAGATTTGGGACTATATATTGTAATTTTTGTCTGTTGAGTTGTGCCTTACAGGGGCACTTAAGTTTTACACATCAAGCTTTATTTAAGAGAGCAGCAAGTGGTATTAAAGAGGTAAGTCGATTTGCTCTTCATGTCTGAAACAAAAAACTTTACTTGTAAACAGACATGAAGTGAATGACCAATTGTGTATCTGGGAGATTTTTAAATAGTGCCATGCAAGTCATTTATCAGGTTCCTAATGCTTTATACTCAAAGGCACCACAAGCATTAAATTTAGTAAGTGAGTCAGTTGGAATAATAACAAAATTACTTTAAAATTGTCAAAATTCTGCTCTAATTCCAGTCTATGAAAAGTCATCAACACACACATAAGGAAATATTGTATATTTCAAAGTTGAAACCTGAACCATAGCTGAACAGAAAAGCATTGCACCTTCTAAATATGCAAATGAAATGTGAGAGTGGGATAAAATATATAACATTTCATAGTCTACGTTCATTTTATTGTGGTAATTAATAACGAACGATAACTATTGATCGATTTATCATCTCTCTTTAAAATGTGATTTAATTGTTGTATCAGATCAGTTATGAAATGTCGCATTTTTGACCCCAGTGCTGGCAAAGTTATATATTCCCCTCCCTTTTCCCCCCCGACCCCCAGCTTGGGTCTGAAATGCTGTACACTGTCCAGCGCCTTGGGACGTCCTCCCGATGTGAAAGGCACTATACAAATGTAATCTTGTTGTTGTTGTTATAAGTTGATTGGTGTTTTCCTGGTTCCACAAGTGACCCATACATTTTGTGTGCATCAACTATTCCAAACCCTCTTGCTGAAACAATGTAAAGCTGGATCACTGGGGATATGTACTCACTTCATTGGCTATTTTACATTCGCTTAGGTAAAAGCAAGTTTTTTTTTACATGAAAAAAAACAATCCACGATATTTCATGAGCCTTGAAGCAAGGGAGCATTTTCAAACAGTAACCCAAAAGAAAGTTTTCATCATTAATGTATCATAAGATATCCAG